TTTGTCTACGGAAGACTAGAGTGGTGGAGGCAGGTGGAGAGGGAGCCTTGGGCCCAGGGACCAGGTGTTGGGACAGATTGACTTTAGGGATGAAGATGACAAGAAATGGCATTTGGAGCACATCTGAGCTGCTAACAAGGTGGACAGCTGTACAAGGCTCCAACAGCCATTAAAGTGGAGAACTACGCTGGAAGATGGGTAGGGGGCAGGAAGTAGGTGCGCACAGACTGGAGGTGGTGCTAGAGTGGGGGGTGGGGGGAACAAGCAGGGACCCTCCCCGGAAAGCAGATCATCAGAGTCAGACTCTAGGGGATGCTGAGTTGAGGGGCCAGAGCAAGGAGTGGGGCCACCTCACCACGTCAGCCATAAGCTCCGAACCATTGCCGCTGCTTTGCACCAAATTAATGAAATTAGGAAGTAACTGAAGAAAAAATTGAGGGGAAGTAGATGAGAGAAACTATAAAAGAACAATTTAGAAGAAAGAGAAGGTAGGTTGCCTCTATTCTCAGTTCAGTCCCTGGAGGGCAGCTGGCATTTGCTGAGCACCAGGGAGATAAGCCAAGCAGGCAGGATATGTGGCTGCTCCCAGTTCTGTTCCTTCTCGTCATCCAAGGTGAGTGAGGTGGGGGTTTCAGGATGGCACACCTGCAGGTCTGGGGCAGGACATGGATGGGTCTGTCCTGGGGGAAATGGCGGGGACTTCATTCAGCCAGATGCTTATTTATTTATTTATTTATTTATTTAAAAACATTTGTTTTAAGTACTGTTACCTGATAAGTACTAAGTTAGGTGTTGGACAAGGAAATAGAATAAATAATACAAACAGTGTCTGTGTCTAGGACAGTTTGTCAACCCTGGCAGAGAGAAGGATAGACAGATGATGGATGGATGGATGGTGGATGCATGGATAAATAGAGGGCACGGAGAGGCATACACGCACACATATATACACTCATACATAAATGCATGAATTCCTGAGGAAGTTTTAAAGAGCGCAGATACTCAGTCTCCAGCTAAGACCCATTCAGCCAAGGTGGGGTTCAGACATCTGGATCATTTAAAAGCCTGCACAACTAGTCTTAACTTGTAGCTTGAGCAGGGAACCTCTCTTCTGAAGAGCTCAGACAACAGGGAGGAAGGCAGGCAGCAAAACCAGGGTGACAGGCTCTCTGGAGAGTTGCTCGTCCCCACACATCAGCCTGCCTGGGTCTCTGCTCTGGATTATCCAAAGACCAGATGCAATCCAATGTCCTAGACAAAACACCCGAGATGGGGGCAAAGTGCCCTGGAGGCACCAGAGTGACCAAGTTGTTGCAGAACCGGGGAAACCAGAGAAGAGACACTGTTGGAGCTGAGCCTTGAGGGATGAATTAAGGGTTTTTTCCCTCAAATGGAGAATAAAGCATATTCCTGGTAGAGGGAACAACATGTACAAAGGTATGAAAACACAGAAGAGCACGATATGTAGGTAAAAATACAAGCAATCACGTGTCCGAGAGTGAGTGTGTTTGGTGTGTGTGTGTGTGTGTGTGTGTGTGTGTGTGTGTGTGTTTAGTTCACGTAAGTTTGGAGGCTGAGGGTTTGTAGGTGTGTGGGGTTAGATTGTCAGGGGCTGGGATGAGGAGGGGACCACGCTGTCTCACCAGTCTGGGATTCAGAAATATACCTGTGGCTGCAGTGTGCCCTCTGTGCTGCCAGGAAAAGGTGCTGCTTGAGGGCAGGCAGGGGAGGGTGGTCAGTAGGATGGAGTGAGCAGATGCCCCTGTTTTGGGCAGTTAGAAGACCCAAGGAGGGTTCACAAGATGGGTGACAGCAAAAGAAATCCTGTGGGGGATGAAGGGACAGGTGGGATGTGGCGATTAGACAGAGGGCAGAGGTTCCTGGTTGGTCTCAGTGCAGGGTCAGAAGCCCAAGTGGCACCCGGGTCATCCCTGGGCTCAAGGATGTTGGGTTTCTGTTTTCTAGGCCACTTCTCCACCTGCCAGGAGAGTATGGTGAGAGGCACAGCAATTGGCACATTGACCGTGTCCTGTGAGTACAGTCCAGGATGGGAATTCTACAAGAAATGGTTGTGTCGCGGGAAGAACTGGAGTTCCTGCAAAATCCTTGTTAAAACCACCGGGTCAGAGCAACTGGTGAAGAAGGGCCGAGTGTCCATCCAGGACAATCACAGCCGACACATGTTCACTGTGACCTTGGAGGATCTCTGGTATGACGACGAAGACACCTACTGGTGTGGGATTGAGCAGACCGGCACTGACATAGGATTCAAATTTTCCGTGATTGTCGACCCAGGTAGGCACTACCCTCCTGTGTTCTGGGCCCCTGGGACCCACCCCCAGAGGAGTCAGGACTGTTTCTCTGTCTTCCCCCGATGGATGGAGAGAAGTCTGGAATCTTGCCTGAGGCCACACATGTGCATGTGCTTGTGTGAGCGTGTATGTGCATGTGAGATCATGGATGGGGGCACTAAGATTCTGGAAAGGACTGGAATAAAGAGTGAGCCCCCACAATGCCGCATGAGTCCATCTGGTCTCCCCAGAGGGTTAGAGAAGGACACACTTGGCCAGGACAGGCTTGTCCAGGGGAGGCAGCTCCTTTTTTCCCGGTCACATTCACCCTCAGCACATCCCAGCCTGTGTGGGGTGATGTCAGGCCTGCATGGAGGAGTGGGGTGCCATAAGGACATGATGGTGATGGTCTCAGCTATAGGTCAAGACACCCTCTCCCTGCCTCCTCCTTCTTCTTCCTCCCCTCTACCCCTGGCAACATCAGCACAAAGGAGCAGGTGAGGGACTATGAACTCATTTTTAGGAGAAGGAAAGACAGACTCCACTGTGGCGCAGGCACCTTCTCTTCTGGCTGCCTCTATCCTTGGAGGGGACCCTGGGCTCCCCTGAAGCTTCCCCAGAAGCACTAAGTCCTCCTAAGAGAAGAGCCTGGAAAGAGAGTCAGGCTATAGCCCCCACCCAACAGCTCCATGTCTGGACCCCTGCGTCGTGTCTCCAACACACAGACACACAGACACTAGGTAGGTAATGCACCTGTTACTCAACACTCCATTTCTAGAGCAGAGAAAAGTCTCTTCAAACTTAGAATATGCAAATGTGTGCAAATGTGTGCAGTGGGAAGGATGCTGGTCTTAGAATGTTCTAGAAATTCACTGAAAAGGACATCAAATGTGGTAGATGTGTGCAAGAGTAGAGGAGGAGTTGGTGCAAGAGAATTGGAGTCTGGACCCTTAACCCAGATGACCTTCCCTTGGCAGACCTGGAGAAGTAAGAAAGCAAGCCCCAGGTAGGCAGAAAGGGCCCCAAGGGGAAGCAGAAGCTGCGGGCACTTGGCAGCCCCAGCATACAGGGAACCCTGGACTTGCCAGCTCGTGGGTCACATCGCTTCAGGGCAGGTGGCACAGAGCCTGCTTCAGGCAAGCCTGAACACAGAAACGAGCTGGCCTGGCTGATTTAAGGCCTCAGGGATTGGGAACACGGTTCTGACATACTGAGCTGTGTCTAATAGGACACGGAGATGAAACTGAATGTGAATTCCTACATAACCAGTAACCCTAAATCCCTCACAAGGTAGTAAACTGGTATTTATCCGCAAATAAGAAATCGTATGTTTTGAATAAGAAAGCAAAAAGATGCCAGAGAAAGCTAACATGGCTGAGCAGTGGCACTAAGACAGAAAGGTTCTGCACCCCTGGGGGTGGGGTGTGGAGACCATGGGAGCCACCTGTGACACTCACAACCATGCTCTGCTCTCTGTGTTTAGCTCCTGATCCAACAGACTCTCCCAAGCCTGTAGCAAGA